GCTGCCTCGTGTGCTGCCGCCGGCCTCCGCGGCAACCCGGCTAAAACCAAAGTTGGCGCAGGGCTTCTGGTGGCGGCCGCCGCGCTCCCGGCGCAGCGGGAAGTCGAGCCGCGCGCCCTCGTGCTCCGCCACGGAGTGCCCCCGCTTTCCCTGCGGCGCCGACGCCGGCCCACGCGGCGGGCAGCGTGCTCTCGGAAGGAAGCCCGGAGGTCGCGAGCCTCGTCGGCGCCCGGGGAACGCTCTACGGTCGGCTGCGGACGCTGCACGCGGCTGGTCTGGGAAGCCAAACCGCGTTGGCCCTGCTCCGAACGCGGACGGGTTCGGACTGCGTGTTCCCAGCGCGCAGCCGTGGCATCCCAGAGAAGGAGGGGGCGGCCATGGACGCAGCACTGGCGTCCGAGGTGCAGCACGTCCTCGGTCGGGCAGCCGCTCAACGAGGCCACCCGGAGGAAGGTGTCTGTGGCGGCGGCAGCAGGCGGACTGGGGTTCCAGAGCGTGGCGCTCACCGCGCCGGCGGCGCATGCGGCCTCCTGGCACCTCTGCCACGACCCACTGCCTCCGCAGGCTGGAGTTTGCAGGGGCCAGCGCGCTCGCCGGGGCCAGCCCTTGGGCGAGCACTTGCCTCCCCGCCGCCACGCGGGTCCTCCGGGTGGCCCTCGGCGACCAGACCGCCCACATCGGCGACGAAGGTCTGGCAGCTAAGCAGCACGCGCTGGCTTCGGCCCCACTCGCTGCGGCTGCCTGCCGCGTCGCGCACGAAGCGGCGGCCGACCTTCCCACGGCGGCAACCGTGCTCAGCGCGGGGGGGCCGGCGCGAGCGGGTGGCTGCAGCCGCCCACGCGGCCGCGCCACCAGCTGACAGACGCGCAGTTCGGAATCGCCCTCCAGACACGGCTGCACTTGGAACTGCCGCGGACGGAAGGGTGTGCGGCGAGGCCCTGGACCCGAAGGGGATTCACGCGCGCGGGTGTGCTGTGGGGGCTGGCGCGTGCGCTCGCACGACGCCAGTGCGCGGCCCTGGCCGAGTGGTGCGAAGAGCAAAAATGCACCGCGCACAGAGAAGCGTTGGTGCCCCATGCGGCGCCCGCGAATCCAGGGGCCCGCATGGACTTGGTGTTCCATGCGCCTGGGGCGGCCGCGCAGATCCTGGTGGACCTCACGGCGGTCAGCGCCTTGAGCCAGGACGCCCTCGGCCTCGGCGCGCCGCGCCGGGAGGGGGCCGCAGCGGCCGCTGCGGAGCGCCACAACTTGGATAGTTTGAGCTGCTGCTCTGGTGCTCTGGGGCCCGTTCTGGGCGTGACTCACAGCGGACGTCCACGCGGGGCGTGCGAGTCCAGCTCCGGGGAAATGCGCAAAGAACTTTGTTGTTTGGTGATGGCGATGATGACGACGACGACGACGAGTACGGTGATGACAGCGGCGATAATGCTGATGATGCTGGCGATGGTGATGACGGCGTGATGATGGTGATTACCATCAGGTCGTTAATGTTGATGGTGAGTGATATTGGTCGCGATAGCGTGTTGACGCCACACTGGGCATTCTTGAACCCCTACTGGAACGCAGTTGGGTCAAATTGCTGGTCCTTCGTTGCGGCGCGTTCTTGGGGAGTATGCGATGTTCTCGCGTTGGAGGCCCCGCCACGTGCCGACTCGAAACCTTCTTTAGGGGGCGATGGGGCATTGACGTAAGTGCCAGCTTTGACTGTCGCTGCGCCCTCGTCGCAGCCCACCCGCCCCCCCCCTCCCCCCTGCTTCCCCCTTTCCCGCGGCCCGACCGATGATCTTCTGCGCGCCGCCCGCGACCTGCGACAGCGATCCCGTCGTGTATCGGACCGCTTCGTCGCGGGAGTGCAACCAGGGCCCCGGGGCCGCGCGCGCCCCCGGACGAAGTGTCGCACCCTGGGGTCGAACGTTTTTTTCGAAGCAAGCCGATGATAATCCAGCCACGGCGACGGCCCAGGAAAAGGAACGAGACGCCCCCCGAAAACTTAATCATCATCGAAATCCCACCAGCCCTCTGGGCGTAGGTGGTTTAAGGAGCTTCCTCTTCCAACCTCCTTCTTCCCCTTCGGGGAGGGGCTTGCCCCCCCCTGCCCCCTCCCCTGGGCCTGAACGGGGGGAGGGGGAGGCGCGACGCGCTGGAGCGTCCAAGATGGCCCAAGACGGCTCCAAGAGCGCCTCGGAGAGCCCAAGATGAGCTCTAAGATGGCTCAAGATAGCCTAAAGCTGCCCCCAGATGGCTCCGAAGATGCCCCAAGAGGCCCCGAGACCGCCCCAAGACGGCCCCAAGAGGCAAAAGAGCATCCCAAGGTGGCCCCCACGAGGCCAAAATCTTTCAAACACCTAAGGAAAATACTTGTTGTTTTGCTTTCTCGCCTTTTTTCGCTTCCGATGGTCATCCGAGGCCTCAAGATGGCTCCAAGATGGCCCAAGAGAGCCCCGAGAGAAACCCAAGAGAGCCCCAAGAGGGGGGGCGTAATTAAGGAACCCCCTTCTTT